GACCAGAGACTGCGGACAGTACAGGAGATTACCAGAGACTGTGGACATAGTACAGGGGATGACCAGAGACTGCAGACAGTACAGGGGATGACCAGAGACTACGGACACAGTACAGGGAATGACCAGAGACTGCGGACATAGTACAGGGGATGACCAGAGACTGCGGACATAGTACAGGGGATGACCAGAGACTGCAGACACAGTACAGGGGATGACCAGAGACTGCGGACAGTACAGGAGATTACCAGAGACTGTGGACATAGTACAGGAGATGACCAGAGACTGCAGACAGTAAACGAGATTACCAGAGACTGCGGACCTTTGGGGAGGGAGGGAGAACGGGTACCTGAATTTGACAGGTACCCGCACCCACTTCCGCGGAGTTGTCCTTCCCACGGAGGCTTCTGTGACAGCCGGGTGCCCCCGCTGCGCATGCGCGAGAAGCGCTGCGCTTTGTGAATGGCTCGGAGCCTTCTGGGACCTGTGGTGTCCCAGAAGACACCGGACCATTCACAAAGCTCAGCGCTTCTCGCGCATGCGCAGTGGGCACCCGGCTCTCACAGAACCCGCCGCGGGAAGACTGCAGCGCTGGAGCAAGGAACAGGTAAGGTCCTGCAGGAGAGAAGAGCTGAGCAGCCGGCCCGATAATTCTGACATGGTGGCGGCAGAAATACCGGACCGGCCGCTTTACATTCACTCCATAAGACGCACTGACATTTCCCCCCCCCCGTTTTGGGGGGGAAAAGTGCGTCTTATGGAGCGAAAAATACAGTAATTCTTGAATGGAAAGGTCAGCTTTCACTATAATAACATGAACAATAACATGAACAAATCTCAGTGTCTGCATCCTTTTAGTATTCTTAGGGGGTATCTCACCATAAATGAAATTTCTATTGCAGTAGTTTCCTAAAACTTTATTCATATCTTTGTGCAGACTTCTAAGAAATTTGGTGAGCCAATTCAAAGCAGGGAATGACTTTTCTAGAGGCGTTCCATACACCAGCGGTGTACAAAAGACATCCTGGTTGCTATATAACATTAGAAAATACTACTGGCTGTAGATTGAAATATAAAAGTAATTTTTAACAACTGCAAATTCCAAAATGGCTTGTGTAGCAGTTTTATTTGTTATTTTACCTTTCAATTAAAAAAAAAAAGTTTTCCCTGAAGTGTAGCTTCACCCCAAAGGGGGAGTTCCACTTGTCTGCCTCCTCTCCTCCACTGCCACATTTGGCACTTTTTTGGGGGGGGGGGAGCAGGTACCTGGTTTTGACAGGTACCCACTGCCGCTTTTGGGTCATCCTTCCTCTTAACTCCTGCAGCCTTCTGGGACACTTCACGGGTCCCAGAAGACTGCAGCGCACTTTGCACATGTGCAGTAGTAAACTGGCTGTGAAGCCACAAGGTTTGACTTGCAGTTTCCCTTGTGGAAGATGCCAGCGCCAGCAACCAAAGCCGATTGAAGAATCGGCTCGGGTGGGGGCATGCTAGATCCTTGGGACAGGAAGTGGACTCATATTAAAAGTCAGCAGTTACAGTATTTGTAGTTGCTGACTTTTAATTTTTTGGAAGGAGCCCGAACTCCGTTTTAAAAGACGTTATTATAAGCCCCAATGCCAGCAGAAGCCATTAAAGCAGATATTTTTGTCACCTGTAATAAACAATAGATTGGCTTGGCATCAACGACGAATGTTATGTTGTGAAGCATTGGCCTCTCCACAGAATGACTTGTATGCACGTTATATCAGAAACAGAAGTATTTTTATGATGTGGATTCACTGTGTACAGCCACAATAAGTTTAAATTACAGAAGTTTCTAAATACTTTCTGAGATTGTATTCATTTGTCGTCATCCTAATTTATGTAGATTACCAAAATAACATTTGTAAAGTTGTTTCTGAAATGAATCTTTTCATCTACCAGATCCCAAAGCCCACTGGAGTGAAGAAGGGTTGGCAGAGGGCGTACGCAGTGGTCTGCGATTGCAAGCTCTTTTTATACGACGTTCCAGAAGGGAAGTCAATGCAGCCTGGGGTGGTCTCCAGCCAGGTTGTGGATCTAAGGTGGGCGGTTTCTCCATACTTCATAGAACAGCTTAATAGGTGATCTCCGGGGATTACCCAAATTTACCCCCAAACCTCTCACTCAAATTGACATTCTTCTGTTTTGTTTGCTTTAATCAGAGATGAAGAGTTTTCTGTGAGCTCAGTCTTGGCATCGGATGTCATACATGCAACCCGCAAGGACATTCCCTGCATATTTAGGGTACGTGTAATGCCGAATCTTTAATTACTGTTAAAAGTACAACACCAGTGTGTAGTGTTCGTGACAGGAGCGCGAAGAGTACATCTAATTTGTAATTGAAGAATTAGTTCTGGGTTGTTTTTGTTGGTAGGGGTGGCATGTGAGTTGTGTCTATCTTGAATTTCGACAGATTAATTAGGTCAGGTTTTACCTGTTGGATCATCTGAGTGTAAAGCAGATTGACGAGTAAAGAAATTGTCAGCAAAAGATATATATATATAATAGAGATATAGATATACACACACACTATATTGGCAAAAGTATTGGTTGGCCGGCCTTTCCACGCACATGAACTTTAATGGCATCCCAGTCTTAGTCCGTAGGGTTCAATATTGAGTTGGCCCCGCCCTTTGCAGCTATAACAGCTTCAACTCTTCTGGGAAGGCCATCCACAAGGTTTAGGAGGGTGTCTATGGGAAGGTTGGACCATTCTTCCAGAAGCACATTTGTGAGGTCAGGCGCTGATGTCAGTGGAGGAGGCCTGGCTCGCAGTCTCCACTCTAATTCATCCCAAAGGTATTCTATGGGGGTTGAGGTCAGGACTCTGTGCAGGTCAGTCAAGTTCTTCCACCCCAAACTCGCTCATCCATGTCTTTATGGATGTTGCTTTGTGCACTGGTGGGCAGTCATGTTGGAACAGGAAGGGGCCATCCCCAAACTCTTCCCGCAAAGTTGGGAGCATGAAATTGTCCAAAATGTCTTGGTATGCTGACGCCTTGAGTGTTCCCTTCACTGGAACTAGGGGGCCAAGCCCAACCCCTGAAAAACAACCCCACACCATAATCCCTCCTCCACAAAACTTTACACTTGGAACAATGCAGTCAAGCAAGTACCATTCTCCTGGCAGCTGCCAAACCCAGACATGTCCATCGGATTGCCAGACAGAGAAGCGTGATTGGTCACTCCAGAGAACATGTCTCCACTGCTGTAGAGTTCAGTGGCGGCGTGCTTTATACCACGGCATCTGACGCTTTGCATTGCACTTGGTGATGTAAGGCTTGGATGCAGCTGCTCGGTCATGGAAACCCATTCCATGAAGCTCTATACGCACTGTTGTTGGGCTCATCTGAAGGCCACACCAAGTTTGGAGGTCTTTAGCTATTGACTCTGCAGATAGTTGGCGACTTCTGCGCACTGTGCGCTTCAGCATGCGCTGACTGACAGTTGTTTTGTGTTCCATTTGTGAATGATTGCACCAACTGTTGTCACCTTCTCACCAAGCTGCTTGGCGATAGTTTGGTAGCCCAGTCCAGCCTTGTGTAGGTCTACAATCTTGTCCCTGACATCCTTGGACAGCTCTTTGGTCTTTCCATGGTATAGAGTTTGGAATCTGATTGTTTGATTGCTCCTGTGGACAGGTGTCTTTTATACAGGTAACACAATGAGATTAGCAACACTCCTTTTAAGAGACTGCTTCTAATCTCAGCTTGTTACCTGTATGAAAGACACCTGGTAGCCAGAAATCCTGCTGAATGATAGGGGATCAAATACTTATTTTCCTCATGAACATGCAAATCAGTGCATCATTTGTTAGACATGCATTTCTTTTAAAAATAACCACCCTCTAACCGAAAAAAGCAAAAACAAAGGAACTTGGAGGAGGCTGAGAGCAATAGGAAGGCACTTTTTTAAGTTTAAAGTGGTTGTAATCCCTTACACATACCCAGGGAAGTGACTGGCCTCTTCTCTACATCTGTTCAAAGTACTGAATTTATAAATCTTCTCTGAGCGGGTACAAAAATGGGGAGGAGAGCTGAAATTACACCCTGCAGAGTTTAGGAGAGCTGATTAGAGGGAAGAGAAACCTCCCATCCACACAGCTCATAGGAACAGAGCTGAGGCTGTAAATCTGCTGGACTTCCCTCTTGGTGTCAGGAAAATGTGTCAGAAGTGATTCATGCTGATAGCAGAGGAATGAGGCAGCAGACAGAAATGACACTTAGTGCTCTGGATTGAGATAAGTACTCACTGTAGAGGGACATGCTTTGTTCATATTTCATGTCTGAGGTTTACAACCACTTTAAGAATATATACTTGAATATTAGGCTTTCTTTTCAAGCCAGAGTTTAATATCACTGTGTAATGATTGGTGGTGAAGATCAGCTCCCTGGTCCATGTGCATTCATAATTCTACACCCCTCTCGCTTTTCGTGATTAAGACATATGCCCGGGACATTTGCCAGCAAGCAGCTTGTGTGGGAGGGGAACTAGCAATGATAATGTAAACAAGGAGGATTTAGGGAGATGAGAGGAGTTGTTTTGTAGTCCAGAAGGGAGAACTGAGACAGGGCCGACAATGCAGCTTGGCGCAGATGGCAACATTGTCGGCCCAAAAAAGGAAGTTAGGAGCTCACTGTATTTCTGGCAGGATCACCAGGTATTTTGTACTTGCAGTGGTTTTAAAGGTTTTAAAAATGTGCATGTGCTATATGGTCCACACATACATTTTAGTACCTAGCTGTCTTTTTCTATCCACACAGGCTGTGTCCTGGGTTTTGTCAAATCATTGCCTCTAGTATCCAGTTAGATGATCTTTTGGAGGCAGAGTGCAAGCTTAATATAAATACATCTCCAATTTGTCTGTCCAGGTGACAGCATCTCTTCTAGGTGCTCCCTCCAAGACCACAACCTCCCTGCTCATCCTGACAGAGAGCGAGCATGAGAAGAGGAAGTGGGTCGGGATCCTAGAGGGACTCCAAGCTATCTTACAGAAGAACAATCTAAGGAACAAAGTAATACATTGTCCACAGGAAGCCTACGATAGCACTCTGCCTCTCATCAAAACCGTGGTGGCAGCAGCTATTATAGGTACGTGCAGTTGTGTCTTGACAATGTATTAGATGTGCGTTAAGTTATTACTTAGAGACTTTCTATAACAGTTAAAAATAAATATTAGTGGTTTGCAGCTTTCAGCTCATTAACATCCTTCATAAAACCAAGGGTTGTCTGAAACAAACTTTGAAAAAGTTAATGCACTATTTTTTTTTCTCTGGTAGATCGGGACCGGATAGCTGTTGGGACAGAGGAAGGACTGTATGTAATAGAGGTTACAAGAGATGGTGAGTTTAGCATTCTACTGTTCCCAAGTAACAATACAGTTCCCTTATATCTTACACTGATTTTTAGTGAATGCACCCCTATCAGTTCTTGCTTACAGTTTGATTTGACACTAGAAAATAGTGAATCAAGGCCACATGTGGGTTTGTAGGAAGCACATAAATTTGCTGTACGGAATCCTTTAGGTTTGCTAGTTTGGCAGCTGAGCCGTGGTTATACTGCCCCTCAACCACCTACATGAATTGTAAAATGACAACTGTGGCATTTTTAACTCAGGGTATAGAGTTCAGCCATTCCACAACTGTGTGCAATGCATACGATTGCAGCTCGGTAGTGTGGCATTATAAGGTTAAAGCGGAGTTCCACCCAAAAGGGGAAGTTTCGCTTTAAAGATTGGTCCCCCGCTCCCCATTATGGATTGGTACTTTTTGGGAGCAGGTACCCGCTCCCACTTCTGCTGCGATCGCCTAGGCAATCAGAAGCTGAAGTTGTCGTCCTACCCTCCCTTCCCGTAGTCTTGTGGGACACGTGAGAGGTCCCAGAAGACGACGGGGCCATTCGGGAAGCACAGCGCTACTCACGCATGCGCAGTGGACACCCGGCTGTGAAGCCGCAAGCTGTCACAGCCGGGTGCCCACACTGAAGATTCTGGCGCCTGGAATACAGGACGGCCGGTGAAACGGGCTGAAGGGGGGACATCATGGGACTGGTGAGTGGCTGGTTTTTTAAAGTCAGCAGCTACAGTTTTTGTAGCTTTAAATCAGATGATGAGGAGGTGATATAATATCTCCTCACTGCTTGTCAAATGCCTACTGAAAAGTACTGTGACTGGAAGGTGTGGGCCTGAGATTGGTACAGCGGGGATTTCTGCAGATCCTGACCTGGAACAATGAATAAATGCACGGCCCCTGGGGTTTGCAGCATGCAGAAACTAACACAGGAAGAACTTAGCTGAGTGGGAGAGTGTCAGGACATCTCCTGGGGAATACTATCCGACCAGAACCAAGTCCTCCGGCTGTACCAATCATCAGCTCCTCAGGCTCTTTCCTTCCCGTTCTTACAGTTCTCCACATGGATATCTGTTAGCATGCCTCTCACATCTCCATTACAATGTCTGCCTGGCTCAAGGTAGGCATGCTGACAGTGGAGGCATCGAGGGCCGGATGTAGCCCCGGGGCTGCAATTTGCCAAGCTCTGATTTAAAGGAATGATTGTTTCAAGAAATATGTTGCGATTGTTGATTTCCTTTTGAAAGTATTTTCTGAGGCACTGACACGGAGCAAGAATGCAGCAAGTAAACTTAGAACTCCTTATTTATTTTAGTAAGCAACTGTAGTAAGTAAGTGACTCAAAAATTAGGGAGAGCTGTTTGATCAACAAAATGACCTGGAAAGCAGCATTTTCAGATGAGTAAGTCAGCAAAAAAAAAAAAAACAAACTTATCAAATTACTTAATCCCATTTTTGTTTTTGGTATATTAAACCATATTTTCTATCTTTCTAGTGATTGTTCGAGCGGCGGACTGTAAGAAAGTATACCAGATAGAACTGGCCCCCAAAGAAAAGATTGTTGTCCTTGTATGCGGTCGGAATCGCCACGTCCACTTGTTCCCCTGGGCTTCTCTGGATGGCTCTGAGGGCAGCTTCGACATCAAATTGCCGGAGTCCAAGGGCTGCCAGCTCATCATTACTGGGACACTAAAGAAATCACCCTCCTCTTGTTTATTTGTCGCTGTCAAGCGTCAAATCTTTTGCTATGAAATCCAGAGAACTAAACCATTCCATAAAAAGTTCAATGAGATCCTGGCCCCAGGTATTGTTCAGTGGATGGCCGTTTTTAAGGACAAGCTTTGCATCGGCTACCAGTCTGGGTTCTGCTTACTAAACATCCATGGAGACGGACAACCGATAAACCTGGTCAACCCCAATGACACCTCCTTGGCGTTCCTTTCCCAGCAAGCTATGGATGCTCTGTGGTGCGCTGTGGAGCTTGGGAAGGACGAGTACTTGCTTTGCTTCAGTCAGACGGGAGTGTACGTGGACTCGCAAGGTCGAAGGTCACGCTTGCAGGAACTGATGTGGCCAGCCACTCCTGTTGGTTGCAGTACGTAAATATCATCAGTGTGTTAACTTTGCAGTAGATCGGCTGCAGTTTCTGCACTTGAGAAACTTTCTTTCTGCTACTCTTAAGCAGGCCATAGATGGGTCGAAAATCGGTCGAAAATTCGTCCGAAAGAATAATTGGCCGATCTTTGGATCGTTAGTGGGTGAATTGGTCGGACGTTTTTCGTGATTTTGACACATTTTTTTAATCGGTCGTGTTGTTGGGAAAAAAAAACGTCCGATTTTGTCCATTGGCAGTTTTTTACGGCAATGATGGGCAAATCAACCGATCTTTTTACCGATTAAAAAAATGTGCATGAGCCATGACTTGCAAGAAAAGAAGATGAAGACAAAGAAAAAGAACAACATCTGTATCTATTTGTATCCATTTCGGATACAGATGTTTCTATTCTGATGCAAATAGATACAATGTTGCAACTGCTATACTTTTATATGTCAAATATAATAGCGGTGTCCCTGCAGAGAGCTCCGCTATTATATTTGACATTTTAAAGTATAGCGGTTGCAACATTGTATCTATTTGTATCCGAATAGAAACATCTGTATCCGAAATGGATACAAATAGATACAATGTTGCAACTTTGCTATACTTTTAAATGTCAAATATAATAGCGGAGCTCTCTGCAGGGACACCGCTATTATATTTGCTGGCTGTAGACGGGATGAAAATCAGCCAATTTTTTAAAAAATGGTGGTAACGTTGGCTGACTGAATGACCGATTTTTCGTTTTTAGAAAAAAAAAAAAAAAAACGGCCGGTTTTCTCCCCGTCTATGGCCTGCATAAGTCTCTGTTCAGCCATAGGTAGAGAACTGATTTACCCCGTGCCTTAATTCTCTCGGGGCCGCTGATCTTGAGGTGTTCGCACCTGTCAATCTTCAGGCCTGCTAATGTTCCACAGCAGGGGGGTGGTATTTAAAGCCCAACTCTGACCAAAACTTTTTCGTTTTGGACAGAATGGGGAAGGGATGGTACCTCTGTCCCATTTTCTTTTTCATAGACCAAAGTGCCAAAAGCAGAACATATATGTTTCAGATTCAGTTTACTTCAGACTTGTATCACAAAAAGTCAATGTGATTTAGGAGCTCAAAGGGTCCCTTCAGCAGGGATTGTTGCTGTTGAACAAAGTGTGTCTGGACTGATAAAGCTGAGGGGATCCTGGGGGGTATTTAGTATGATTGCTGCTCAGATGACGGTAAACTTCACTGTTAGGTCAACCAACATCTGGAGCGTCTATCAGACTAATTACCCCTGAGGATCCTTCCATTTTTTTCAATCTAATATACATTTTATTTACCATCGCCAAGCCATGATGAAGTGGTACCATTTGAACCTTCGAAGTGTGTTGGATTTTTTTGATACAAGTCAAAATAAAATTGAATCTGTGCTTTATACATTCTGCTTTTGGCACTTCCCCCTTGCATGCTCAGTAACTACTGGAGCAAAGAGCTGACCTTAGGCCAACTTTCCTGGGAGAAGCTGCTTAAGGAGAGGCTTTCCTTCACTGCTTAAGACCTGACTCAGAACACCTACTGCTTTGATATCCAGCACCCCACACCTTTCTTCTACTTCTCAATTTATTTATTGTTTTTCTTGTGGCTTGTTGCAGAGTTTTCCCATCACACTGTTGGGACAGGAAGTGATTGGAAATCTCTCCAGTGGGAACACAGCCTGCAACAAAGCATGTGTTTAGTACAATGAAAAAGAGTTAAAACATCTGTCGGGTTACATTTTCCGTTGAAATAAGAAAAAAATGCCATCCAATTTGATATGATAACTGTATCTAGATAGTATCTCCGAGTCACTTAGAATAAAGTGTGGATAATACACCTGAAAAACTAGAACATAGACAAAATGCAGTTGACTAGTGCAAAACTGCCTGGTAAGTGATTAATTGAAATGCGGAGTAATAGATCACTACAGAGGTGAATGCAAAATTGTATTTATTCAATCGCTTAGATCATGGAAAAAGGTTGACATTGACAGGGTGAACATGTTGCAATCATGTTAAAATTAAAGAGTTAAAATAGAAAACCGTTCATCTATTATGCGTTTATTACGGTACAACCACTAAGAAGGTAAAGTGAGATATATATTCTCATCAATTTCAACAGATGCTATATATTAGGTTGGAGTCATAGTTATTATTCCCTGTTTCCTCTTTATTCATCACTATTTACCATTATTTAATTCATAGGAATTTATCCATCTGTACTGGAATGTTCATGAAGGAACAATTACAGGAGAAAACAACTATTAAGATATATTATATGGAACTTTACTGCAGTTCAATACAGAAAGGAAACTATATTGCCTCATAGGGATCATTTTTGCCCACATAGCCGCATTTGAAGACGTCGGAACGGTTTTCTATTTTAAATCTTTGATTTTAACATGATTGCAACATGTTCACCCTGTCAACGTCAACCTTTTTCCATGATCTAAGCGATCGAATAAATAAAATTTTGCGTTCACTTCTGTAGTGATATATTACTCCGCATGGGATTTCAATTAACCACTTGACAGGCAGTTTTGCACTAGTCAACTGCCATTTTGTCTATGTTCTACATTTACCGTTGTGTCTTTTTATCCCTGTGACAACCACTCACTCTTTCCTTGTCCAGTTGTCACGGGGACAGGAAAGGAGGTGAAAACTTTTATACAGGATCAAACATTTGCTAGAAGTATTTTCTCTTCTCCAGTCTACAAACTTCAAACTCTGCATTTTGTGCTTTTTACTATTTCTTTGTCGGGTGGAAAATGAATAACCTGGCTACAGAAGGGTAGACGACACTTTCCTGGACTGGGTGGACAGACTAGATAGGACTGTAGTGGCAAATGTTAATGCTGGATTCCCTCGAGAGAAATAGCACAGCGCACCCATAACTGAAAAGTCAGTTTTGATACTGTAGCAGACGGCAAGCCACAGCACACTGTAAAGCCGGCTAGGTTCCGCAGGGAACGGTGGAGATTTGATCAACTTGGGTACATCCAGCCTGTCAAATTTTTTACATTCTATTACTGTCAGGGGCTATAGCTTCTAGCAGTAATTATTATGTGTTCTCCCGGTCGGGAAGGCTTCCTGCGCCCCCCCTGTCAGCAGACCACATTAGAGCTGTGGGAGGCATACTCCCATCAACACAGACTGTGTTCAAGGGGTAGTCGAGCAATTTTCTTCCACCTGTGGTGGAAGAGGGGAAAAAAAAAACGAATAGTCTATAGACTGCTTCAGAAGCTGAGGAACTGTGTGTGCGTGCGCGCGTGCGTGCGTGCGTGTGCAAGGACATTTGGCATCTTCAGAGCACATTGTCGGAATTGCAAGTGTATAGTGAGTACAGGTACAGAGGATTCAGTACCAAACAAGTGACCAGCACCTTACAAACAAAAAGAGTCCACGTGTTTTATATTATTTGTTCGAATCTTAAACAGCCATATGTTAGCTGCTGTTGTCTAAAATTTCGAAGATTTAAAATACTATAAGTCCTGCAACATTCCAAATCATTCCATGCAGGTAGAGAACAGCTGCTTAGGTCAGTTGCTGCAAGGCTCCATCCCTTTGGTGAAAATCTTATGCAGAATTCAAGGATGATTTATAATGGTTGAACTAGATGGCCATGTGTTTTTTTTTTTTTTGTTTTTTTTTTAACCGGATTAACTATGTAATGGCAGAAAGGCTGTCTGCAAGGGAAATTTTACTTTGCAAAAGAATTTTCCTCTAGCAAAGCTTCACATCATTCACTAAGCTGACTTCCATTATCCAGTCATTTGCGAGCTAAAAAGTTTTTTTTTTTTTTTTTTTTTTTCCTTTGCATGTGATTGGGATTTTTTTTTTGCAAAGTGATTGTTACACCACATTTAATTTACGAAGGTACAGGGACATTCCTTAGCACAGTGAACACTCTATTTGCCTTTTTTTTTAAATCATCTCCTCTGTCTGCGAAAGTTCTCATTTATCCAGGTCGTGGTGTACCTAGTAGTAGTTGGACATATCATACTGGACTTGTTCTCTAATGTTTTGTAGCTTCTCTTATAGATGATTCAATCTACAGTGAATGATGATTCTGTTTTTTTATGCAGGTTATCTGTGGTTGCAGGAAATAATAAAACTGCTCAATTCCCAGTCAGTGTTGACGGAGAAATTCCTCCCACAGCACTATTGTGTTCTGCCGTTGGTGAGCCAGCAGTAATCGCATGCAAAATATCCTACAGACTAGTCTATCTTCAGTACAACCAGCCTGCCCATAGATGGATTGAACCTCAATTTGATCCATCTATGGCATGCGTAAGCCACTTCTTCATGGAACATACTCCAAACAAGTAGCCTAGACACCTTAATCCAATCACTGATGGAATGTGCAGATGTTTATTGTCTAAGAACAGGATGGGAGGTGTGAAAATTGTGAAATAACCCTGTTATAGTTACATAATCCCATCCTTCGTGTCAGGAAGGCCCATAAATGTTCATTCTTCGATTTTAGATGGCTGAAGGTATGAATTGTTAACACGGCGTATGTGGAAGTCGGGTACTATTGAAGGCCTCCACCCCTTTTTAGAGATGGTGGTTCCAGTTTGACATAGATGGCCTCTTTCGTATCAATTGACCTCTCTGTCCAAAATGTGTACATCACTGTCCTCAAATCAAATGTCCCCTTTTTAAAGTAGAACTAAAGCCAAAACCATTTTTAGAAGTGTAAAACCAGTGAGAGTCACATCACGAGGGTAGACTCTCAAAGTAAAGCTCCGATAAGTTAGCTCCGATGAAGAAGGGACCCCCCTTCGAAACATGTCAGCCTTACTTTGGGAGTCTACCCTCGTGATGTGACTCTCACTGGATTTACACTTCTAAAGCTCCGTTGAGGACACTACACGCTTGTTATAATTCTCTGTCTCTGAGTATATTTCTCAATTCAATAAAATCACATTTTACTGAGGTAATGCGCAAGGTTGGTGCGCTTTCTTTTTGTTTCACTTTACAGTACTGGAAAAGGGTTAATATCAAGGGGCGATCAAGGGGTTATCTGTGTGCCCATCACGTGTAATGTATGCTGCTTTTACTAACAGATCTTTCTCCCTAGAAGACCCCGATCGATCTCTGTGTACAGAGTAGCCAGATCTGTTAGTAAAAGCAGCATACATTACACGTGATGGACACACAGATAACCCCTTGATATTAACCTTTTTCCAGTACTGTAAAGTGAAACAAAAAGAAAGCGCACCAACCTTGCGCATTACCTCAGTAAAATGTGATTTTATTGAATTGAGAAATATACTCAGAGACAGAAGTATAACAAGCGTGTAATGTCCTCAATGGAGCTTTTGAAGTGTAAAACCAGTGAGAGTCACATCACGAGGGTAGACTCTCAAAGTAAGGCTGACGCGTTTCGAAAGGGGACCCTTCTTCATCTGAGCTAACTTAGCAGAGCTTTACTTTGAGAGTCTACCCTCGTGATGTGACTCTCACTGGTGTACACTTCAAAAGCTCCATTGAGGGCACTATACGCTTGTTATACTTCTCTGTTTGTATATTTCTCAATTTAATAAAATCACATTTTACTGAGGTAATGCGCAAGGTTGGTGCGCTTTCTTTTTGTTACACATTACAGTACTGGTCGGGCCTCCCCAGCCTTGTGTAGAGCTGCACAACCTTGTATGCATTGGTGGACGTACATCCACAAGCGCTTTTTCCATCCATCCACCATTGTTCTGGGTCGTAGCGCGCAGGAGGTGTTGTTTATGTTTCTATTAACTTCTTCCCAGTCAGTGTCATTAGTAAAGTATTATCACTGTAATAGTGTCACTAGCGATGTCAGTCAGTGTTCCTCCCAACCAGTGTCTATCGGCGCCAGATTGCCTGCCGTGCTATCGTAGTCCCACTAGAAGCCGCTGATAACCACCATTACCAGTATAGTGTCTGTATGGATCATTACCTTCATCACGATCAGAACTGTACTAGTGTCCCCAAAAACGCAGTTTTGTATTTACCAAATACACATAGTGCAATATGTTTTGGTCTAAATTTATAAATAAATTTGATTTTGTTGGAAAATATAAAAAAAAATTTATTTTCAGTATTTTTTTCATTTATATAGAAAAAAGTAATCAAATACCTTCAAAAGAAAGCTCTAGTTGCGTGGAAAGAAATTATATAAATTTAATTTGGGTATAGTGTTGCATGACTGAGCAATTACCAGTTAAAGTAGCGTAGTGCTGAATAGCAATAAAAAGTGTCCTGGTCATGAAGGGGGTATAGCCTTCTGGAGGTCAGTAAAATTAAAGGCATAGGGTGCAGAGGGATTATACCATCTGTCAGCTTCTATTAGTGTCCGTGACTCCGGTATGGAGATCCTCCCTCTATTTGTCGTGTTTACAGTTATCATCGAAAGTGATCGTTTAAGTAAACCCGCCACCTTGGGTTGTCCCCGGGACAGTATCTGAAGGGAAATATTCCGATGGGAACACTAGTTCTGGTAACAATGAAGACAGCCAGGGATTTCCTCACTTTGAAGGGCTTTCCTCTCACTTTTGTTTAGGCTACAGGGCAGGAAGTGAGAGGAAATCTCCCGAATTGGACACAGATGGCAAAAAAAACCTGGCAGGAGTAATAACCCTCCTTTACTTTATCCAAAATGGAAAGAAAAAAGTTTTGCCTTTAATTCTAAGTCAACACAGCTGTGTCCCGGGTCATTCCCTGTCTCACAGTAAACAAAGGAGCAGGATGCGGGGGATGGCAGTGCCCTGATATGGATACATGCCCATATTTAGTCAATGTCAGTACCCTACATTTAGCCAATGACATTGATTTAAATATGTGAATGTGACCATATAAGGGAACGGACATCATTGGCATCCCTACCCCCTTTGTTTACATTTGTCGTGAGGCGGGGAATGACCTGACCCACAAGTGGTTGGACTTAACCACCTCCGGACGGTGGCAGTGCAGTGTCTCGTGTTTATAAACGGCCTCCCTGCACTCTGCTTGTGCGCGCTCCCTGGGAGCGCGCAGCACTGGGATCCGATGCCCGCTGTGTCCTCCAGACACAGTGAAACACCGATCGTCGGACGGGACCTCTGTACGAGGTCCTGATCATGTGATCACTGATTGGCCAATCAGTGATCACATGCAAAGTAGTAAGCAAGATGTCGCTTCTGACATTATTGCTTACTACATGTGAAATCTGTGAATGATCACAGAGGTCACATGGTACAAGGCTATTCACAACAGCCTTGTACCATGTGACAAGCTGTGACCAATTGCAGCTCACTCAGTAGTTTTCAATGGCTGCAAGAATGCAGACAGAGAGAAAGAGAAATGATTGCTTTTACATCCTATATGGGTGTAAAAGCAATCAGTGTAAAAAAAAAAAAAAAAAAAAGCTTCATCACCCCCCACAAGTAGTACAGTGTCACCATAGTGACACTGTACTGCTAGGGTGACAGTATGTAAAAAAAAAAAAAAAAAAAACCATAAATAAAAATGTAAAAAAAAGTTTAAAAATTAGAATTTTTGGTTATAAACTAATTTGGCTTTTTTTTTTTTACTAAAAAGATAACGGAATAAATTTTGGCCAAGATTTATGATGAAATATTATTTATTTGCAAAATTAATATAAGAAAAACACTTTTTTAAAATTTTTTGGACATTTTCATTTACATAGCAAAAAAAATAAAAATCCCAGTGGTGAATAAATACCACCAAAATAAAGCTTTATCTGTCTCAAAAAAATGGTAAAAAATTCATATGGGTACAGTGTTGCATGACCGCGCAATTGTCATTCAAAGTGTGATAGCGCTGAAAGCTGAAAATTGCACTGGACAGGAAGGGGGTAAAAGTGTCCGGACAGGAAGTGATTAAAAAGAGTGCAAAGTGGAAGTTCAGGTGGTGATGAGGTCAGAGGACCCCTAAACTCATCTCTAATAAGGAGCAACAATGACCGCCATAGACTACATGTATTCACATTCTACCTGTTTGTTCTTATGGATAATATCAGTCAATGCTAATGTATGTCTGTCTGCTGTAGGCTGCAGCTCCTCTTATGTCACCGTGTACAGTGAATATGGAATCGACGTGTTTGATGTTCACACCATGGAATGGGTACAGACCATCGGGCTAAGGAGGGTGAGTTCAATGTGGATTACTTTGGCCTAAGTCTTCCTAGTATCCCTCCTGTGTATTTTCTCTCCTGATTTTTTTGTGTTTGACAGATCAAGCCATTAAACTTGGAAGGTTCTCTGAACCTGCTGAATTCCGAGCCAGCCCGCCTCCTGTATTTGAAGAGTGTATATTCAGGTTTGTTGTGTTTCACTACATATCCCCTCATAAATAACATGGTTACCTTTGAATGACTTTCCTATTTTAAGGGCTGCCTGCTAACAAAAAGATAAGTATGTCAATTCTTGTGAAAAGTACCCTCCTTTTTTTTTTTTTTTCTTTTTTTTTTTTCTTTTCCTTTTTTTTTTTTCTTTTCCTTTTTTTTTATCTTTTCCTTTTTTTTCTTTGTTTTTCTTCTTTTTTTTTTTTGCACAGTTTAGTTGACACCTATATTGACATTTGCCACTTATTATTATTATACAGTATTTATAAAGCGCCAACAGTTCGCTCAGCGCTGTACATTACAAAGGGGGACAGAACATGTGACAGAACAATACCAATACAATGCAAAACATGAGGGGATCGAGGGCCCTGCTCTTTCGAGCTTACAATCTAGGAGGGAGGGGATGGTGGCATAGGAGGAGATAGCGGTGGGGGATGGAGTGGTAGGAAGAGTGGAGGAGGTTGGCAAGTTAGCAAGGGGTGGGGTAGGCTTCCCTGAAGAAGTGGGTTTTCAGGGTGCGCCTAAAGGAGAGGAGAGTAGGTGATAATCTGATGGGTTGGGGCAGGGAGTTCCAGAGGATGGGTGACACCCTGGAGAAGTCCTGGAGGCGGGCATGGGAGGAGGAGACCAGGGAACTAGAGAGAAGGAGGTCTTGTGAGGAGCGGAGTGTGCGTGTTGGGCGGTACTTGGATATTAGGTCGGTGATGTAGTTCGGGGCAGTATGGTGGACAGCTTTGTACGTCAGTGTTAGGATTTTGAATTTGATCCGTTGCGCAATCTAAAGCTATTTTCCTTTTTTCTTTGTTTTATATTTTTTTTTAAGACTATGGAAGATTCCGTGTGCGAGGTTTTACTGATTTCTATCCTCACTGCTTTTTTTTTTTTGCACAGCTTAGTTGACACCTAGATTGACATTTGCCACTTATATCTAAAGCTAGTTTCCTTTTTTCTTTGTTTTATATTTTTTTTTAAGACTAAGGAAGATTCCCTGTTGGGGTTTTATTGATTTCTATCCTCACTGTTTTTTTGTTTTTTTTTTTATTTTATTTTTGCACAGCTTAAGCAGGCCATAGATTTGTAAAAAGTCTCTTGATTTTTCTTCTGATAAGCGAAAAATCGGACGGCCGTACAGCCAATCAGAACACCATTTAGAACGAAAATCGGCGTATAAATCCTCTGTAATTGTCACCTCTACAGGAAATGATGTTGTGTTTTGGGCGGAAATGCTGTCGTTTGGTGACCTTTTTGTCCCTCCCTCTTTTCGTAATCTGCCGGCAAGACATCAGCAACGTTTCGTTCCTACAAATTTTCTTCATTTATTGTATTAAAATGCCCAAATTAACCCGCAAAAAAAAACTGGCCCTTGTAGCGCTTTCTGTGTTAGCACTGGAGGAGAAGGAAAAAAACAACAAAAAAAGAAAGCAAGGAAGAGCAGAGTATGGTGCAAAGACTGGCTTCTGAAATTCGTTTACTAAGAAACTTCCAGGTCATCGCACATGCGCATTAATTTGTCATTTAGAAAATCGGGGGATAGTGCCATGAATGGGAAGAAATTAAGTCGTTTTCTAAATATTTTCTAGCTCCAACGATATTCGAGAAGACAAAAAAATACGAAAATCCGCAGATAAAATTGCCCATACACGAACAGATTATCCGCGGACTTTAAAGGCGTCCGAAAAATCGCAGGATTTTTCGCAAGTCTATGGCCGCCTTTAGTTGACACCTAGATTGACATTTGCCTCTTATATCTAAAGCTAGTTTCCTTTTTTCTTTGTTTTATATTTTATTAAGACTAACGAAGATTCCATGTGGGGGGTTTTACCGATTTCTATCCTCACTGCTTTTTTTTTTTTTTTTTTTTTTTTTTGCACAGCTTAGTTGACATCTAGACTGACATTTGCCACTTATATCTAAAGCTAGTTTCCTTTTTTTCTTTGTTTTTATATTTTTTTTTAAGACTATGGAAGATTCCCTGGGGGGGGGTTACTGATTTCTATCCTCACTGCTTTTTTTTTTTTTTTTTTATGTCCTTTGTATAGCTTAGTTGACACCTAGACTGACATTAGCCACTTATATCTAAAGCTAGTTTCCTTTTGTCTTTGTTTTATATTTTTTTAAAACTAAGGAAGATTCTGTGTGGGGGGGTTTTACTGATTTCCATCCTCACTGCTTTTTTTTTTTTTTTTTTTTTTGCATAGCTTAGTTGACACCTAGATTGACATTTGCCACTTTCATCTAAAGTTAGTTTCCTTTTTTTCTTTGTTTTTATATTTTTTTTAAGACTAGGGAAGATTCCCTGGGGGGGGGGGGGGGTTTACTGATTTCTATCCTCACTGCTTTTTATTTTTTTATTTTTTTTGTGCTTTGCACAGCTTAGTTGACACCTAGACTAACCTTTGCCACTTATATCTAAAGCTAGTTTCCTTTTTTCTTTGTTTTATATTTTTTTAAGACTAAGGAAGATTCCCTGTGGGGGGTTTTTACTGTTTTCTATCCTCGCTGTCAGTATTTGATTTATGGAAACCTAAATCCACCCCAAACTGATAATTTATTTGTATCCCTGGCAAGTAAGAGACCACTGGCATTTGTGCTTCCTTGGCTTTCTTGCAGTTTCGTTATTTCTGTTTCCTCCTCTGGCGGTCTTTCTCTGCTCATTCATTGGGTGACACAGTGGGACCTGTTGGGTATAGCCTCGCCCCCCACCCCCCCGTAGAAGATTGTATACCAAATAAGGATGCAACTTGCAAGGTGTAGAAAGGCTACGCGTAATTTTAGGCCAGTGATGTCAGAGGGCGCAAATCCCAATTTCTCTGCTGTGTACTCAGTTTTATTTTTTATTAAATTCTGTGCAGCATAGAGCACCGTTCCCTTCTTTATTACCATGCGGCAATGCTGTATAAGCATTTACTAAGCTTAGAGGGATAGAGATGAGTTTTATTATAAAATTAGCAACTCTGGTTCAACGGGACAAATATGTTCGTATACCATGTGATCGGGTCTCAGTTTTGCATTGGGCCACTGTGGCTTTGTGTTTCCATGTGGTAAGATTTGTAAACTGCCCCTGGGTCCGTGATTTACTGATATTGCTTGTAAAACAATGTGTTGTTCTCGCCCATTTACTAAGCTTTCTCTTTCAGAAGGAGCCAGTCTTACTGTGCCAGAGACCTCCGACAACAGCAAGAAGCAGATGGTTAGGACCAGGAGTAAGAGGAGATTTGTCTTCAAAGTGCCCGAAGAGGAGAGGTTACTGCAACGCAGGTACAGTTATTGGGAATTTTTGAGACATTTTAGTCTGTGGATAATATGCACATTTTTAAAGTTGAGCTTGAGAAAAAAAAAGCCCCATAATATGAATAATTAAATAAGTAGCTAACGTTTGCTACAATACTCATTCAGTCCAGAGCTGTTCCTTGCAGTATCTCTTTTCCGCCACTAGATGCCCCAAGCCTTCCAGGTTAATGACGCCCAGCTTTGTTCGGCCTACATGCTCTGAACCTAGGCTGTCATGGACCAGTCATCTCACAGCCTGGGCTCAAAGTACTGCTGCACTGGGCTGAGCTCAAGTGTCATTACCTATGCCATTCGTTGTGCCGAAGAAGAGGAAAGATCTAGTCAGAAGATCCTTGGAGGTTGGGTTGAGGTTTCTTGCATATAATATATATTATTTTTTTTTCTTTAAACCTGAACCCCATTTTATACTTTTATACTACATCATAAGAACCCCACTATCATAAGAACCCCACCCCTTCGCTAGCCGGAAATGGTTTCCTTGTGCTGCCCTGATTTAGATTTACCATATTATTATGGCGTGACTTCATGGCCCAGCTCTACTGACTGCACTGACTACTAAGACTGCCCAAGGTAAGGGCACTCTCGCTGGACAGACAGACAGTGGGTGGTGGAGCTAAGCCATAAAGTCAATGGTAATCAGGCCCAGTGACAAAGTGAAACTAAATCAGAGAGGGGCACAGAAGACACTTTTCTGACTAATAAAGTCACTAGCAGGGACATATACTTTAATGTCTTATTAAGACCTCCATAAAATAATAATGTAATACCTTACATCATTATTGTTTCTGGACCCTTTTTGTATGCAGTTTTTGCAACATAATGTCCCATTGAAAGTTTGGGTTAGGTTTCACTTATTGTGGTTATGTTGCCTTGTCTCCCTGGAGGCCCAGCATATCCCTCTAACGTGCACTCCTGGCTAGGACTGCATCTTACCATGCTGCTTAGTGCCACCTTCAGGTGCTGTGCTTGGAGGATAAATATGCTCCACTGCCATGCACGGGGGACACATACACTCTGATGTTGTGTTCAGGAAACACGTGCATTACAGGCGGCACTCTTTTACTGTGTTCAGGGGACACAGTAGGGGGGAGTGTAACAGAACCGACCCAGTCTGCGCTTGGGTACCTCCATTATAATACTGCTTCCCCGTCCGAACACCGACCAGACACACCACAGCCGACCAAACAAGACTAGACGACACCAGTCTGTCTAAACATGGAACTCCTTATTTGAAACTTGAACTGGCTTTTTATACACTCAAGTCCCCTAATGCATAATGACACAGGGAGGGGCAATCTACACTTAGCAACAAGAGACACACAGGTATTCAAACTTCATACCAGCAGACAGTCCATCAGGAGGGAGGGCTGCTGGAGACACCCCCCACTATGCTAATACACATAAACACATACATCCCATAATAGTTTGCTCCCAAGCAAGACACACAATAGAACAATGGGATGCAACCACATGGCATTAAACAATCAACAACCCCCCACCCCAATATTAGGACAGATAACCTTGTACCACTAACAGGCACAGGGTGACTTACACATAATAGGGATATGGGGAGCTAAGACAGGGGTCTCCCCACCTCTCTAAAGTATGCTGGGTTCCATGGGCCCCCCACGCAAAGTGACTCCCGTCACAGGGAGTGTTGTGGATCCCGAAACATGTTGACTGTTTTATGTGATTAAAAGCAACTTGTACACTTTCACATTTTGGTTTGATACCCTTTTCTGTAAATTATACTTTGAGTTACTTCCAGGTACTTTTTTGGCAAACTTCCTTGCATTTGAATCAATATTGAAATCCCAGTGCCTCCTAAACTTTTCTTTTTGACATGCGCATTATGGGCAATGCTCTGGTACTGTTCTCAGGGGACACGTCCATTATTAGCAGCACACAAGGAATCAAGCGACGTGTAGGCCAATACATTAAATCTCTGATGTGCTTTGTGCGCACTTTCTGACCAGATGGGGAAGCCCTGCAGAGAGGGACACAGCACAGAGAACATCAAAATAGCTAAAGTAAGACTTTGGGGGCAGAATAAAGGAAAATAACACTCTACTAACTACTAGTTGCATGGAGCTTAAACAGAACTACACTGCATCTGAGCACCACAAACCAAAAGCGCAGCTTAAATCATTTTTAGTATTCAGAGCTAACTCACCCATTCATCCATGTCTCCATGCTTTATTTTGCTGAGAAATTATTTTGAAAATCACTCCTCTAACATTTCTGACAGTGGCCATCTTGAATAAGGGCAAGATGATTTGTGTAGCATTTACTTCCTGGAATCCCTCTGCCCTTAGCTCAGACATGAGGGTGTGCTTAACTGAGAAAACCCTCCCCCTAACCCTCCCAAGACTGCTGAGATGTATGACATAATTTGCCTAGGCCTGGAAATCAGCAAGTAACTGAAGAAATTTGTATTATTTATTTTTTATGTATTACATGTACTTATATAGCACTGTCAATTTACGCAGCGCTTTACATATATATTGTACATTCACATCAGTCCCTAACCCTCAAGGGGTGTACAATCTAAGGTCCCTAACTCACATTCATACATACACACGCTAGGGCCAATTTAGACAGGAGCCAATTCACCTACCAGAGTGTCTTTAGAGTGTGGGAGGAAACCGAAGTACCCAGAGGAAACCCACGCAGGCACAGGGAGAACATGCAAGCTCCAGGCAGGTGGTGCCGTGGTTAGGATTTGAACCGACAGCCCTAGTTCTGCTATTTGTGGACATTGTGGAGACTTCCTGTCCCATAGACACAACAAGAAGTGGGGAAATTTCTTTGATTGGAAGTTTTCCCCTTAGTGGTATTGCGAAAGAGGCTAGCCCATGAAACACGTCAGCCATTTTGGATGTCCATCAGTCTCATCACCATTCAGAAACGTGCGAATTGGACAGAGCGGTCTCATATGATGTGCTTACATTCATGTACTTTTGTGAGTAGAATACCTTCTTTTAAATTTAATAAACATACTTAGGTAATGCACAAGCCGGTGCGCCCTCTGTTTTGTTTTTCTCTAGTAGTACTTTTGGACTCCCCGGTTCGTTGAGGGCAGCAAGGTGTGCATATTCCAAGACACTCATTGTGTGATCCCTATGACATAGAGTCCATCCCTAAGCGCAGGAGTATTTGGGTTTTCCACTTTCACATCGGTGCCGTGGTTGGGATTTGAACCGACAACTCTGCCAGGCGGAAGTGCAAACCATTTAGTCACTGTGCTGCCTCCAGGGAGACAATGTAAAAAAAGGTTTAACGCAACTAAATATGATATACTTTCCCACGTATTTACTAATGCTAGCAGCATAGGAATTAAAAATAGTCAATGTTGATTTAGATCCTAATTAAAAGGTGTGCGCTAGTAACAAACTTATACAAAGGTGTATATCATCATCCAAAAAACATTTATTGTTTTAAATAAATAATTATAGTGTCCAAACAAAAATTAATGTCCAAAAAAATATATATATATATATCTTCAGTGACTTGAACCAATTGTGAAAAATCCACCACCAAAGGAGATTAAATGAAACCACCAGAGCTAATGGCTGGTCAGATTATAAACCAGCAACAGCGCTTGTGCTCTGGGAGCAATGAACCCGATGTCCAAATAGATATGGTGATGTTTCAGACACTTCCAGATAATAATAATCACAGACAAACAACTTTGCAGCCCAAGCTCTTATGATGAACTTCTCCACTCTTTCTCATACCTCCATGAGAGCATGCAGTACACTCAGGGACAAAAAGAGAGAACATAATGGTGCAATACGTTTTTTTCATTTATCTCTTTAATAAAAAAGGTATAAGGAAACTCACAAACAAGGTGTCCAACAGACAGCAGCTTCAATCGCAAAAAAAGGTGAGATAGAGTTAACGCTCACCGCAGATCTCTCCCATACAGCACAGAACAGCAAGGCTCTCTAACGTCCAAATCGAGTAGGCCACACCCAACCGGTTTCGTCACACCGACGTCATCAAGGGGCGGTACTGCGTCGGTGTGACGAAACCAGCCATTAGCTCTGGTGAGTTCATTTAATCTCCTTTGGTGGTGGATTTTTCACAATTGGTTCAAGTCACTGAAGATATATATATATTTTTTTTTTTTTTGGACACTAATTTATGTTTGGACACTATAATTATTTATTTAAAACACTAAATGTTTTTTGGATGATGATATACACCTTTGTATAAGTTTGTTACTAGGGCATACCTTTTAATTAGGATTATTGTTGCCAAAATTTATTTTGGGTGGGATATGCTGCTGACACTGATGGTTTTTGTAAGTGGCGCTTTTTTCTTTTTTAATTTAGTAATGTTGACTTAGAGAGTGAAGTTCCACTTTAACATAAAAAGCAATGTTGTTCTGGGATATCTTAGGTATTTGTTTATGGTAACACTCCATTGTTTTGGGACTGTCACCAACTGTCTTTTTCTATTGCAGGGAAATGCTCAGAGATCCTGAATTAAGGTCAAAGATGATCTCAAACCCAACCAATTTCAACCACGTGGCTCACATGGGACCAGGAGATGGGATGCAAGTTCTCATGGACCTGCCTCTGGTAACGTGAAGTTTTGTTCTGTCTGTATGTCGAATGCTGCATTCCATTCTATTCAGTGTCTTGATGATGGCTCGTTTTCTTGTTTCCTGAAAATGTAACAGAGAGAATTTCCTCCCCTGTCATCCTCTCGCCACTCTCTTCTGATCTCACCTCCTGCAAACTTTGAGCACGTCTATCACATGAGCTCTGTCTCTGCTGCCACCATCTTCCTCCAGAACGAACGCAACTCCCTGACTTCTTCCTCTTCCTGTCCCTCATCCACCTCCTTACCGAGGGTAGGAGTAACCACTCCGAGTGGGACCGCAGCGGTGTACGATTTTTGCCCCTTTTGTAACGCTGTAATCTCTGCTAACCCCCAAGCTTGACTGCAATGCTCTTATTTTACAAACTACTTAAAACTGCATAACACTTTCGCAACACGCTTGTGTATCTGAGTGATGGCCTATTGCCTGTGTTTCTTCTATTAATCGGGCAAGACACAGCTTTATCTGATTTTCCAGCTTTAATCACTTTTATGTCTTTGTGTTGGCTTTTTTTTTTTTTTTGACCATTATTTCTTTGTTTTAAACATCAATGAACATTATTATTATTATGGCCATATTGGACACTGTAGGTATTGTAGACAGGGGTCTCCAAGCTTTTAAGTACGAAAGGCATTTCAAATATTTTCAAATTTTTTGCCGGACAAAAAAAAAACTGTTTTATAAATGAATTAATGATTTAAATTTAAACTATATATAAACTCTCAACTTGTAAAACAACCCATACAGTTCAAAATAGAAATAAAAGGTAAAACATTTGTATATAGATATTAAAAAAAAAAATCAGGCAACAAAAACACTTTTTTTTTTTTTTTTTTTTTTATAAATGATCACATAGCCTCTGTTCTCAGCTGCATGGAGAGGTTGAGGAGGAGAAACAGTAGCACGCTATTCTTCCCAGTGAATGGCTGTGTGGGGGAAGTTGTGTCAGGACAAGTCTGACTATTGGAGAAGAGCTGGCTAAGTTCCCAGCACACCTAGAAAACTGACCGCACAGTGCTGTCATATGTAGTGTGGTTAGTTTTTGATAGGAAAGCAGAGAGACTGGCAGGATCACCAGGGATTTTACACAAAGGAAGCAATACAAAGGGACAACAGGCACAGACCAGGAATATGAAATGTTGAGGTAACATATTCTTTAAATGAATGAATGTTTTACTTGAAGCTTTTTTGTAATCAATATGATATGATTCAGAAAACCAGAGGTAACTTCTGTAAAACAAAGCAAAAAAATTCCAAATAATTTGAGGCATTAATAAAGGTCGAACAAAAATTCCTTCAGTCGGCCCTTTTCACATCAGAATCCCCTTTTAATCCCCTTTGCATTAAGGTGCACATGAAAGGGCAACGCACATCACAAACAAACAACATTTTCCCCGTACGTTTACCAGCTAGCCTGCAAACAAACCAAATTAGCCCAGTCTAACAATTCATGTTAAAACAGGGTTTCATTTGCAAATGTATGTGGAAGCCCCAGTGCCTACATCTGGTACACCCCTCTTTAAAGCGGAGCTCCACCCAAAAGGGGAAGTTTCGCTGTAAGGACTGCTCCCCCCACTCCCCATTAAGGATTGGCACCTTTTGGGGGGTGGGGCGGGTACCCGAATTTGACAGGTACCTGCTCCCACTTCCGGTCTGATCACCTAGGCGATTGGAAGTGAAAGATGTCCTCCCTCTCTCTTTTTTGGGACACGTGACAGGTCCCAGAAGACTACAGGACCACTCGTGCATGCACCCACACTGAAGATGCTGGCCTCCTGGAATACAGGACGGCTGGTGAAACGGGCTGTGGGAGACACACTGCGGGACCGACAGGTAAGTGGCTGTTTTTTTTTTTTTAAAAGTCAGCAGCTACAGTTTATGTAGCTGCTGACTTTTATTTTTTGACTGGGTGAGTGGAACTCCACTTTAAAGGCACAGTGACAAATTGGATGCCAATCAAGAGCACAATGGAAGCTGAAGGCATCCATTGTGTCCCCACACGAAATCCGTAAACAAGCTATACAAAAAGATGGCAACCATCTCAGTTTTCCCCATCAGAATTTCCCCGTTACATCAGAGTTCTCCTTATGTCAGAATTCACAGCAGAGCCCCATTAAAATCAGGGTCCCCCTCAGAACGGACACTGTGCACATCAGCTGCAGGCCGGATAAAATGTTCAGTTTGGAGACCTCTGTTGTAGAGCATTGTACAGGGCTCTGTAATAGATTAATTCTGATTATATTTGAGAATTATGCTACAGAGCTGGTCTCAGAAGCATTATTACACTAAAAGACTGGTGAACTATATTAGGTCTTCTATAATGATGTTGGTCTTGTGGGCGGCATTGCATGGCTTTTTAGTGGTATTGTGGATTTCTATATTGGAGTATTTTATTGAATATTTTGGTCTTTATCGTGATAAAGGACTTGGTATCATCATGCTCCTTTAGAGCATTAAGTTGTTTCTTCAAGGAAACAGAGGCTTCACCTTTTTATTTTATGGAAAACTTGGAGAAGTCTGATTAGTAGCTACTCCACTGTTTGTTCTCATTTCCAAATTTGATGAATCAGACCATTGGTGATTGTGAAGTGCATGCAGCAGTGTTCTTCAGCGTTTAGAACCTTTGAGTCTGTTTGTTGGTATGAAACGTTAGTGGTCTTATGTGTTTCTGCAAGAGAGTGACTTTTGAAAGGAGAATCTGGGGCAAAGCTAGACTTGAGTAGTCCAAAGTCACCAGAAAATAAATTTCTATGATGCACTAGCCAATTGATAGTCACTGTATGAGCAGAATTAATTTCTAGACCAGTTTGAATGTTAGTTTTAGTCACTAGAATGGAATTTTCAGATGTGTAAAGATTTTGGGACACATTGGATATATGAACAACATTGTATGATTCTTGAGCAGACTTTCTTGCTATCATGAATCTCTACAACAGAATATGACCAGCCATGCTGATTTCTTCATTGTTGTTATTTGTGTTTCTTGAAATTGGTGCTTTTATTATGTGATCAGTAAATATTTGTGTAATAAAGTTCAACTCCGGATATCGTATAATAAAGTTCAACTCCAGCCTACACTTCACAGGTTAATTGCTCATTTTGTCCAAGGGGAAGAGGAGAGAGATGTACACTCACCCAATCCTCTGCTCCACCAGTAAATAGTGCTTCCCCACAATCCAACAGTGGACTGTTCCTGACATCCTCATGTCCAAAGAAGGCCTATGGCCATGATGACATCAGGAACTTTCCAACACAAGATCACATGACCATGGGGGACCAGTCTTGTGCAGGGAGGATCAGAGGATTAAGTAAGTATATCTGTTCTCCGATCCCCTAGACCAGGGGTCCCCAAACTTTACAAACAAAGGGCCAGTTTACTGTCCTTCAGACATTAGGGGGCCCAGATTGTGGCCAGTGGGGGTAGAAAATGTCCCAAGCCCAACATCAGTGAGCCACAGGGTTGGTAGTCAGTTGCACAGTGCCTGTGGTCAGTAGGAGGAGGAATAGTGGCTCATCATTGGTATTACTGGGAGGAACAGTACACCATCATTGGTATCAGTGGAAGAAATAGCACCTTATTGTTGGTGTCAGTGGGAGGAATAGTGCCACACAATTGATATCAGTGGGGAGGAATAGTGCCCCATCATTGGTATCAGTGAGGAGGAATAGTGCCCCATCATTGGTATCAGTGGGGAGGAATAGTGCCCCATCATTGGTATCAGTGGGGAGGAATAGTGCCCCATCATTGGTATCAGTGGGGAGGAATAGTGCCCCATCATTGGTGTCAGTGGGGAGGAATAGTGCCCCATCATTGGTGTCAGTGGGGAGGAATAGTGCCCCATCATTGGTTTCAGTGGGAGGAATAGTGCCTCATCATTGGTTTCAGTGGGAGGAATAGTGCCCCATCAATGATATCAGTGGGAGGAATACTGCCCCATCAGTGGGAGGAATAGTACCCCATCATTCGTATCAGTGGGAGGATAAGTGCCCCATCATTGATATCAGTGGGAGAAATAGTGCCCCATCATTGGTATCAGTGGGAGGAATAGTGCCCCATCAATGGTATCAGTGGGAGGAATAGTGCCCCATCAATGGTATCAGTGGGAGGAATAGTGCCCCATTATTATCAATGGGAGGAATGATGTCCCATTATTCTTGTCAGTGGCAGGATTTATGCCCCACTGTTGGTGTCGGTGGAAGGAATAGTGCCTCATATTGGTGGGAGGACTATTACCCCAAGGGCCAGATAAAGGTTAGCAAAGGGCCAATGATGGGGCACTATTCCTCCCCACTGACACCAATGATGGGGCACTATTCCTCCCCACTGATCCGGCCCTCGGGCAACAGTTTGGAGACCACTACCCTAGACAAAAACGAACAGTTAACCTGTGCAATGCAGGCACAGCCCAACTGTGTGGGATTTTTGTTTGTGTCTGCATTTTGGGCTTTAAGGCAATATTGAATGTTTGTAGAACAGTGCAGGTTTTCTGGTGATCTAGCATATCATGCATGTCAGGTTCCAGAGCAGTGTAGGTGACATACTGATTTACTTTTTTTTTTTTTTTTAAAGTGCATTAAATCTTAAGCTTTAAACTATACATTGTTTTGATGTTCCCAACTACATACTCATTTTCCTTGTCAGTGCTATAAGAGGTCTATATCTGTTCCATACAGAGTGTAGTTCCATCATCCCAGGAGGAAAATACGCGGGAGAGGACTCGCCCACCTTCCACCAATCTGGCCCGACAGCAGCAGCTGAGGAGCAGATCCTATATCTCATGGCCGTCTTCAGGTAACTTTTTATGTCATTCACATATACTGTATTATCCAAGCATACAATAGGTTGGGACTGGGCAAGCTGCGTGGCTCCAGCTCCCAAGGAAATGAAACAGCTGGGAGAACTTGCAGCCAGTAAGAAAGCAGAAAGATTAAAACAAATGGATGTTGTAGTGTTTGTTGGGTTAATTTAAAGCTTTTGTTAAATGGAGTAGCTGGAGAATGTGACGGGTTACAATATCCTGTAGCCAATATGATAGTCTATTTTAAGGGCCTTGGAGGATTTGTTTGCAATGATTTTGCAGCCACTTATTTATAAAAGTATATTTAAAGGGACGTGAACTTTGGAACCTGTGCCCGAAAAAGGCATGAAACGTGGAAAGGACTAGTCGCCCTCTGTAGGCTTTCCTGATATTTTCTCTATTGCTTTTTATACTGTTTTGTTAATTTTGCATCTGTAAATGCAGCTATCTATGTAGAAGCAAAGTTTTGCTTCCTCATGTCTGAGCTGCCCCTCTGATGACTTTTGGATCTCCAAACTTTCTAAGCATAGGGCCAGTTTACTGTCCTTCAAACTTTAGGGGGGCTGGACTCACCCAGGCTGGCTCTTTTCCAGTCTTTAAGTTCCTGGCGCCAGCATGTTTACTAAGGGAAGCCAGCTGTGACTTGAGGTGTGCTTTGTGAATGGTCCACAGCCTTCTGGGACCTGGGACATGTCATAGACTGCTGCAGGCAAAAGAGGAGGTGGCGGAAAAGTGATACTTCCCCTTTTGGGTGAAGTTCTGCTTTAAGGAGGTTGGACACTATGAAAGACCTGCTTCTCCCCTTTGGTTGGACGCTATGAAAGACCTGCTTCTCGCCTTTGGTTGGACGCTATGAAAGACCTGCTTCTCGCCTTTGGTTGGACGCTATGAAAGACCTGCTTCTCGCCTTTGGTTGGACGCTATGAAAGACCTGCTTCTCCCCTTTGGTTGGACGCTATGAAAGACCTGCTTCTCCCCTTTGGTTGGACGCTATGAAAGACCTGCTTCTCCCCTTTGGTTGGACGCTATGAAAGACCTGCTTCTCCTCTTTGGTTGGACACTATGAAAGACCTGCTTCTCCCCTTTGGTTGGACACTATGAAAGACCTGCTTCTCCCGTTTGGTTGGACACTATGAAAGACCTGCTTCTCCCCTTTGGTTGGACATTATGAAAGACCTGCTTCTCCCCTTTGGTTGGACATTATGAAAGACCTGCTTCTCCCCTTTGGTTGGACACTAGGAAAGTCCTGCTTCTCCCCTTTGGTTGGACACTAGGAAAGACCTGCTTCTCCCCTTTGGTTGGACACTATGAAAGACCTGCTTCTCCCCTTTGGTTGGACACTATGAAAGACCTGCTTCTCCCCTTTGGTTGGACACTATGAAGGACCTGCTTCTCCCCTTTGGTTGGACACTAGGAAAGACCTGCTTCTCCCCTTTGGTTGGACACTATGAAAGAACTCCAGTACACAGTTTACACCTGTGAAGTGGTCAACAAAATCACATCTTCACAGAGAAAAAAAGAAAGTGAAGCTCAGTCAGTTTCTGTCATCTTTGTAAATAGGCTGCATAATATCTCAGCTCAGCAGCTGCATGTCTAGGCCAGGAAAACCTGCAGTAACTAATGTGCCGCAAATCTTATTTTATCTTTAGGTGGCGGAGATTCATCGCGGAGTATATCAGACGCAGATCAAGATCTGGAAAGAGAGGTAAAGAAAACCTGCTTATTCTATGCACCATTATAAGGATCTGGTGCTCGCCTTCATGACTAATACATTTACTTTACACTCCTTCCTTTTTTACCCAAAACCCAAAAACAGTCCACAGATTAGGAGGAAAGATGAGAGCAAAGCATAATGCCTTTCTTCTCATTTAAAGTTTATCTAAACCCCAAAATTTCAGCATACCAGCCCTTCGATGTGGTGGCTGCATTCGTTTTCTCTTTTCAGTCTGTTGTCCTAGGAGAGGAAGTGTGTAAGAACTACAGAACACCTCTCCTCATTCATAGGATAGGTATTCTTTAAAAAAAAAAAAAAAAATGGGCAGGATTTTTTTTCACTTATGGTAAAATTATAACAAAACATCAGGGTTTATTTTAAAGCCCACTTGACCTTTCAGTTTAGATTGATTCCAGGCGCATCACAAAAAAAGGTGTGTAAAGGCTTCCAGATTCTCTTTAAAAACTAGCCATAGCTTGAGAAGAAAAGCCTGTCCCCTGCCAGCATGCTACAAAGTTGGAACTCTTGCTCTGTGTGTGAAAACGGTTGTCCAACACGCCTCCCAGATCTAGAACTCCAGTCAGCAGGGAACATGATCTGATTGCTAAGCATTAGGTTGGACTCAGCAGGGGGTGTGTCAAACCACTACTTCCATACTGACAGCAAGGTGCCTGGAGAATGTTGGCAGAGGACATGCGTTTGTACTCAGGCTGTGGCTGCTTTAGAGAGAAAACAAACAGTAATACTTTGTACACCTTTTATTTTGATGCACATAGAATGCATTTAGATGATTTAAACTGAAGGTTCAATTTGGCTTTAAGGGCTCGTTCACACTTGACTAATTTTCCAACTCTTGCCAAACGCCCCTATAGCGTTTGACAAGCGATGGTCCGGCGTTTGCGGAGCATTTTTAACGCTTCGCAAATGCCGCATGCACGGTTGTTAGGCATTTGCCAAGCATTAACAATGCCCCACAAACACCTATAATGAAGTGTGAATGATGTTAATGCTCCGCAACCGCGTCGCATCCGCACCGCAAACACTGGCCGGGCGTTTACGGAGCGGCACCATAGACTTGAATAGGAGGCTTCAACTCCTCCTGACTCAACCAGAGGCGTCCGTTTTGCCGCGACGCTAACGCTCCCATTTGAACAGCACCATGTGCTGCAATGTGCAGAATTTTCCCAGGCGTTTGGGAAATGGTAAAAACGCTTCCCAAACACCTGTCTGCCGCCTGCTAACAAGGCTAGTGTGAACGTAGCCTAACACTCCAAATGGAAACCACAAAAGAAGTTTGTTAAAGCGATAGTAAACTCTTTGCTTATTTAAAGAAAAAAAAAACACATGCGCCCTGGGGTAGTTTAAGCCAGCCTTTCTCAACCAGGGTGTCTTGAAGTTTGTTCAGGGGTGCCTTGGCAAAATGTCTATAAATTGCCCACAATTTGTATTCAAGCCAGCAGGTGGAACAAGCCTGCCTTTTAGTTAGCCACAGGTTTTCATTGTGCACCATTACGACCTTCTAGCCGCCGGCATCCTGACAACCAATGACATCATCAGTTGATAAGGAGGATGTCAGCTACCTGCACAGCATCCTAGTATTACCCTTCCCTGTCCTTCTCCATCAGTGCTGGGGTCACATTAGCTCAGTGATGGAGTAAAACTGAGAGAGAAGAGAAACACAGGAATACTAGTCAGTACGGGCGTGCAAAAGTGTATTTGCTTTGGAAGAATAAATCACCTCTAATGTTGGGTGTCCTACATGTGTGGATGTTGCTGCCTTATATAAAACTATTAGAATTGTTTTTCACCCTTTAGAATGGGGCGCGCTTTTAAAATTTTGGACAGTCTTGATGCTCCCCATTTTAGAATGGGGTGTCGCAAGACTTTATATAACTTTAACCACTTCCCGTCTGGCCGCTGTATATAAAGAGCCGGACAGTGGCAGTCTAGGGGCAGGTTGCTGTTCATGAACGGCGCCCGCCATTTTGGATTGTGTGTGCTCCCTGAGAGCGCGCGGCACCCTGATCGATGCCCGCTGTGTCCTCCTGAGACAGCGGAACACCGATCGCTGTACGGGACCTCTGTGTGAGGTCCCGATCATGTGATCACTGATTGGCCAATCAGTGATCACATGAATAGGTGTAAACAAGATGTCACTTCTGACATTGCTTACTATGTGTGAAATTTGTGAATGATCACAGAGATCACATGGTACAAGGCTATTCACAACAGCCTTGTACCATGTGACAAGCTGTGACCAATCACAGCTCACACAGTATTTCTCAATGGCTGCAAGAATGCAGCCAGAGAGAAGGAGAAATGATTGCTTTTACAGCCTTTATGGGTGTAAAAGCAATCAGTGTAAAAAAAAAAAAACTTCATCACCCCCCACAAGTAGTACAGTGTCACCATGCTGACACTGTACTGTTTTGTGACAGTATGTTAAAAAAAAAAACATAATATAATAAAAATGTTTAAAAAATGATAATTTTTGGTTATAAACTAATTTGGGTTATTTATTTTACTAAAAAGATAACTGAATAAATTTTGGCCAAGCTTTATGAAGAAAAATTGATTATTTGCAAACTTTTATTAAAAAAAAAAAAACAAACACTTTTTTTCAAAATTTTTGGACTTTTTCGTTTATATAGCAAACAAAAATAAAAATCCCAGCCCCCAGCGGTGAATAAATACCTCCAAAATAAAGTTTTATCTGTCTCAAAAAAATGCTAAAAAATTCATATGGGTACAGTGTTGCATGACCGCTCAGTTGTCATTCAAAGTGCGACAACAGTGAAAGCTGAAAATTGGCCTGGACAGGAAGGGGGTGAAAGTGTTCGGACATGAAGTGGTTAAAGGATGCCTCGGGACTGTCCATAATCGTAAAGGGTGTCTTGACTGAAAAAAGGTTGAGAAACTCTGGTTTTAGCCATAATGTGCTACTATACGCTGCATACTAACACATTATGGCAGACTTATCTTAACACAAAGCCTTCCAGTGGTGCGTTGTCACCACTGACAGGACTTCCATCTTCACCCAATTTTCCTTCCAGGTTGGCTGGCCATGGCCATTTGAATGGCCGAGCTGCGATTATGTCACCGCCATGGCAGAGAGCTCTGAAAGGGACAGCATGCCGTCCCTTCGGAAAACCGTGCTCATGCGCTGGTGACGCCGCTGGCTGTTTCCAGTAAGTTTAGAAGATACTGTACCTACAGGAAAGTTTTATTATAGGCTTACCTGTAGGTACAAAAGCAGAGTTTACTACCACTTTAAGGTGTATATAACCATTAATTGGATTTTCTGTCTTCTACCCCACAGCCGGATTCAGATTCCACAAAGCATTCCACTCCATCCAACAGCTCCAACCCAAGCGGCCCACCAAGCCCCAACTCCCCGCATAGGAACCAGCTGACGCTAGATGGCCTGGACCAGTCGGCCTGCGACGCATAGCACACGATCTCTCCCTCCGCACCGAGACGTGAGCTTGTACACCGTTTCCACACGATAGTGCCAAGACGTGTTGCACAAAGTCTAAAAACCCCATTATTGTAGATATCTTTAACGTTAAAAAGAAAAAAAAAGGGTTTAATATATGTGATCAAGCTTTTATATGCAAAATTAGTTTGTTTCTAATTAGCCGTTTCGCTCTTTTGTGTCACACTACAAGAGACATCATAATAGGATGTTATGAGTTTTTTTTTTGTTTTCGTTTTTACAATTTCACCCTTTTGTGGCCTTTTGCAACTTGTGGCTACGCCACTGTTCCACCACGCTAAGCTGGAACGCCCGTGTCCTAGCCAGAGGCGGCAAAAGGCTTCCATTTTGTATGATGCTGCTAGTTTCTGGGACAAAAGAATAAAACAGGAAACACATAAAGCTGCTACCAGAATTATTACATGGTATCAGTCATGAAAAGTTTCATTAGGATAAAAGGAAATGTTTTTAAACTCAATACTTAGCTAGGAAATTTTTTTTTTTTATTTTTAAATATAGGAATGTATAGCTGGACTAGCTGTGATGTACAACAAACAGTGTTATATAGATCGATTATAACACAACCTGGGCTCCACGAGGCTGGTTTTGCTTTCTCTTGGCCAGCTGCATGCAGAACTGATAAGCTAGTGAATTTGTATGTCTCTGAGGATACATCAAGGCCCATGTCACACTAGCAATCCTGTTGCTAGAGGCAGCTCTGGAGTTAAAATTCTGGAGTGCAGGACTCCAAACCTAAAGAAGAACTCTCACCTTATAAACAAATTCCTTAATTTGTCCTTCAGGGTCCAAAGTCCTTGTAGCACTTTGTTTTTTTTTTGTTTTTTTTTAATAGGTGTTTTCGTAGATCCAGAGCATAGTTGACAGCAGGCCCCCTCACCACCACCGTTTACTATAGACCATCTATGCTGATCTGTAGTAAACTAATCGACATAGCTTGTCTCAGGAGCAGACATTTACCTGAGTACAGCGCTATCACGAGGAAAGCACAGGGAGGAGGGGGTGCGTCAGAGCAACTGCCCGGAGAACATCCAGAGTTGCCCTTACAGCAGAGGGGGCAGAAACAAGCGAGCTTGGTCTGATTGCCACATCAGGAATGCACAGCCAACAGTCATACAGAGGGAGGGACTGTGCCAGCGCTTTTCTCTGTTTCCCAGTGGAACACATGCAGAGAACTGTTGGCAGCAATAGGAATGCCCACAAATTGGGCATCTGACAGGGGAGCAGCTGACAGGCAGTAAAGGGAGAAAAAAACCAAGCGGTTTATTACACCATTGTTCAAAATGTCAAAGTTCAGGTATTTTAACATGAATCTGTAGGCCAGAATTTAATTTTTTTAAAGAAGGTTCTTAATAAATAAAATATGGAATGTGGCAGCTCTCTATTGCCTGGTGGGGTCACCGGATAATTCAATTTGTATGGAGTGAAAGGATGAGAGTGGCAAAGTGTAGGGACTGGTCCAGATATAAATTTCTATTTGTTGTGACGGGATCTTTTTAAGAGTTGTCAGCCAACACGTTTCTGGATTTGTGCGCAAATCCCCCTTCATCAAGGTTTAGCATTATTGTGCGATCTGTATGTGTGGTTACTCTTGAATTCAGTGGGATAAAAATTTATATTTGGAGCAATTCCTATGGCTTGAAGAGGCCTGAGCCTACTCGTTTAACGATGAGAGGAAGTTTCTAACTTGCTCCCTTGCTGACGGAAACTCTGAAGAATCTGGCTTGTCAGATGAACAACAATGGAGTGACACCTCCTTGGTTTGGCCAGTGAAGGAGCATTGCCATAGGGGAAATTGGATGTTATCCTGTAGCCATCCTGACACTGGCAGGTTGCTAGTGTGACACAGGCCATACCCAAGTCACTTGTGCCCCCTCTTCTCCCAAAACTGACACATTCTTTCAGCTTGAATCTCTAATTCTATTTAATTGTTTAATGCTGAGGGGCAGGGTGACACCATCATTGGCTAACGACTGAAGTAGTTTTTACAGAAACTGGAATTCTTCAAGGGGTAGATATCTTCAGCCTCCAAAGATATAAAAAGCCAGCATATGCTTTAAGTCGCCACTAAAATATCGGTTTTCTATGGAGTTGGCCTTTAAAATTAGGAACTATAAGCATGGTCTGGCATAACGGGAAACTTGTAACCATGTATCAGTATTTCTAAAATATGAAATATGTTCACTTTAATGACGCAATCATGAAGTTTAGTGCATTTTTTTTTTTTTTTTAGCCTAAAGGGTAAATCCGCAATTTCTGGCAAATTTGATATTGTGGACTGGGCAGTGAGGTAATCTAATATGTAAGTAGTATTTTTTAGCCTACCTTGTTATATTAGGCCTATATAGGCCAGTGAAGTGTCCAGGGCTGTCCTTGAAAATGGTTAAAGATTGGTGCTCTGGTAATCTATCAACATGCAGTTGGCAAATAGACACAGTATTCTATGTGTCTGCGGTTCCACATAGCAGCAGATAATTGGATACTTTCTTATGGGGATCAGTGGATACTTCAAGGGCCTTTTAGGTGTGTAAGGATCCAAGATGGGTTTTATACTGTTTACAAAGTCTGTTATTTTGCTGCCCTACCTTTCAGTATTTAAATGACCAGAAGTGGAGTCGTACTTTAAACGCAAGGAAATGACTTGCCGTTAATGTAGCTCGTTGTTCTTATGTGGCGTATACAGATGTCATGAACAGAGAGGGGGGCTGCTTGATTTACTTCGGGGGTGAGTACCTGCAATGGTTGGGTAACCAACAACTTCCCAGTGCAGGGAAGTCATTTCATGTTTAGTCAAAACTTCCACACAACAACATGCTAGCGACCCAGTAAAGTGTTAAGAGATTTAGGCTCTGTCTAAAAAATAGAAGTAGATCTATTTAGACAGACAGTGAACACTAAAATGCCTATAAGCAAAGAAATCTATTAAAGCAGAACTCCAGGCAGAAATATTAATGCACCAATGTAAAGGGGCATTCATACCATTGAGTAAAACATTCTTCTTTCCATTGATTGCCATCCAGGTAGTGAGGAAATCATCCTTTCTCTAGTAGTTTATAGCACTCTTTTCCTTTTAACTTCCGTTACAGAAGATCGGTGGCCGTTGTGCTCTCTGCCCCCCTGGCCGTCAGTCTTGTAACTTCCCCGTTGTAGTACTTTAAAAAGCAAGCAGTGATGTAATTACGCCCGACTTGCTGTGGTGGGTGGACCCAGGAGTCTGATCCACCCACTTTATCTGCATCCGTGCCTCAGGTCTGCCTGCAGACACACCCACTCCTTCAGGTCTGCCTGTAGACACACCCACTCCTTCAGTTCTGCCTGTAGACACACCCACTCCTTCAGTTCTGCCCCCACATGCGCACATCAGCTTACATTTTCCTAAGCATCATGGGAAATGTAGTTCTTTATAGCGGCACAGATGTGATGTGCGGCTATATCCAAAGTCCTCCTTCTGGCACTCGGAACCAGGGCGATTTTGGGTTGAATGCTGTGATGCCATGGAGTTGTAAGGTCACAGATTTCTCAAAAAGTAGGTCCGTTTCTGATGAAATTTGGCTGTACTTTAATTGGAGTTCAGCTTTAAATATAAAGTTAAAAAAGTGACTCACCAGTGTCATCGAATAATCTGTAGATCACATGTCTCAAACCTTTAGCAGCTTGTGAGCCCCACATGCATGTAGATACAGACCGTGTGCATATAGAGATTGAGACCGTGGGCGCATATAGAGATTGAGACCGTGGGCGCATATAGAGATTGAGACCGTGGGCGCATATAGAGATTGAGACCGTGGGCGTATATAGAGAGACAGACCGTGGGCGCATATAGAGATTGAGACCGTGGGCGCATATAGAGATTGAGACCGTGGGCGCATATAGAGATTGAGACCGTGGGCGCATATAGAGATTGAGACCGTGGGCGCATATAGAGATTGAGACCGTGGGCGCATATAGAGAGACAGACCGTGGATTGAGACCGTGGATACAGATAGAGAGACAGACCGTGGAGGCATATAGAGATACAGCACCCAGAAAACCTTTCTCAGCTCCTGGCCACCGGCAGGCACCAGTCCTTTAGGATATCATAATGCTGAAGGCAATTACATGAGCTTCCTGTTTGTGATTGGCTGTCACAGTGATCAGCAGCTTTTCCTATTGGCTCCTGATTGGTGCTCGGTAATGAGGAGCTGTGGATGACTGCACCATTGCACTGCTGGGGGTACTGAGCGAGCCAGCAATGTTGGCTGGGCTGCATGTATGTGACAGCTTGGTGTTAAAGCCCACCTCTGTGCCTCCACATATATTGCGTACAGCCCGTGTTAAGGAGATGAATCCCAATTGCACATTCCAGTTGCATCAAAACAAAAGATGTTCAACATCCTACGACTGGTTTTCTTTTTAAAGCAACCACACCATGAGTGCAAAAGCCTATCCTCTGCCAGCTTGCTTTTAAAGTGGTAGGAAAGCCACGTTTTGAAAAATTGCTGTCAGGGTCTCTTCTCTCATAAATATCCTGCTTGTCAGCAAAAACGGCTTTACTACCACTTTAAAAGAATGCTGGCAGGGGACAGGCTTTTGCATATGTAACTCGGTGTACATTTACGGCCACCAATCTGTGCCACGATGATGTCACTCATGCATGCGCAGAAGTAGCGTCAGCGTCTGAAGACGTGGATGCTGGAAGGAAGACTGGGTGAAAATGGAAGTGTCTGGCACCTATGTGATCAATCACACTACAGCGCTGGAGGAAAGTCTTTTGACAGGTAATGCAGGCCATAGACGGGTCGAACATCGGCCGATTTTTTGAACAATAAAAGAAAAATCGGTCGTTCGTTAAGCCGACGTTACCACCAACGATTCCAAAAATCGGCTGACTAAATCATAAAGTTTATCCCATATAACAGCCAAACTTCTGTTCCTTGCAGGTTACGGCTCATGCGCAAATTTTGTTTCATTAAAACGAT